GGGGTTTTAGAGAATTTTGTGTTACTGTTTCCGTTCTTTCTGTGTAAATATGCATAGTTGTGGATATAGATGTTGTAAATAAATAAGGAATCAATCTAAATAGCTATATAGACATGCTGAAGTTTTTGAGTCAATGCTTTTGTCTTGGATTTCATTTTAAACCATTGTTTACTGCAATCCGGGATGAATTGCTTACCAGGCAGAAGTTCAGAAGATCTCAGAAACGGTGAGAGATACGAAATTGCTCAAGCGAGGGCAATTTTGGAAAGCACTTCCGAAGAGATACGGAAACTGGTCCAAAATCGTTTTAATGTTGTCCTGTTTTATTTATAGTTTAATTTTTGAGTAAATTGCACATTCACGTAACTAATTTTTCTTCTGCACAAGATGGCTTAATCAGAGTTTCAGTATGATGTTTCGTCTAGTATCTACTTTATTTTTCCTTATCAAATTGGAGACCTGCACAGCTGAATAGAGTTTTTAATTGTGATTCCAAGAATGTATAACGCATCAAACTTGAGCTATTGCAATAACATAGAATTTCCATAGAAGGCCTTGAGGTTCAGATAGTCATTTGTTTCGTACACGAGATGTATCGCAAAATAATTATTCTGATTTTCCTGACTTTATTTGAGGTGGGATTCAGAAATAATTTGCATCTTGCCATTGCCACTTATCTTCATCTACAAGATGGCTTAGTAAAATTTTCACTTCCATGACAAACACTGTTTTTCCATATGGGCGCCATATTCGAATTCTGTACATTCAAACACTAATGAGAATAAAATGTTACCGCAATCGAATATATGAAGTTTGTATTATGTATTATAAATGCTGAATCAAAAATTATGTTCGATTGTACAACATTACAATATGGAGCCCAAACAAGGTTGATGATGTGGATCGGAAGCAACAGCGTTCAAGCGAGAATTTGAAATTTGACTACCTCTTCTTGTGGAGGAGACAGAGTGGCAATGCTAATAATTATGCAATTTTGCGATAAATCCAATACACGAAACAAATAACTACCTAGGAAATTCTATTTTTTGAAATAACTAATGTTTGTCAATGACATCTATGATCAGAATTAAAAACTCTATACAGGGTGTTTCAGTTTATTGTTGCATAACTTTAAGATTCCATAGAACTTTTGAAATCAATGCATAAAGTCTATATAAACATGGGTCGAAAAATGCGTGGCTTCCGAAATACAGGGTGTTTAAGTTTACTTTCTAAAATAGTTTTCTTTTTAAATATTTCGAACAACATTTGATGTATAATAGTGAAAATTGGTATACAAGGGTTTTTTGGTACGACAAAACGAACCATGGGCATAGTTTTACTGTAGCCCCTAGAGGGCGCTCTCTACTGTACCTGTAGTGTATTAAAAAGACCGAACATTTTTTCTTAGTGCAATTTTTTGCTTTTTGAATGAAAAAACTGATTCTTCGCACTTTTCAACATAAAAAAGCTCTCATGTGAATTTTCGTTGTAGTTAGCCGTTTTTGAGATATTTCGATTTTTAAGGTTCGATGCATTTTTAATTATTTATGATAAAATAACGTTAAAAAGTCAGTATCTCGATAATTTTTAGAAGTACTCTGTGCCTGCAAATATTTTTGAAATTGAAAGCAGAATAAGGTTAAACGTCAATTAGTTGACAGTTAGTATTGTTGTCTGTTGAAACCTGAAACGTTTTTTTGCAATTATGAATGCACAAAATTTACTTTCTTTTACCTGTTTTTTTTTTGTAAGTTTTATAAAAATGTCATTTTTATTTTCCAATCAAGAGTTTTTGGCTTTGTAAATGGAAACCCAGCAGAAGCAGCCAGAGAATACGAACGAAGATTTCCAAACAGACGACATCAAACTCGCTCAGTATTTGTAAGAGTGCATCGCCAAATAATTGAAAATGGTTTTGGAAATCTCCAAAGGGATCAAAACATGAATGTTCGTCAGCGCGGATTTACCCGTACGATTCTGCGTGAGTTTGATAGAGATCCGACCACAAGTGTTAGGAGAGTTTCTGGTGCCTGAGGAATTTCAGCAAGCCATGTTCACCGTGTTCTTAGAAATGACCATAGACGTCCTTACCATTTGCAACCTGTGCAAGGGCTACAGCCAGGGGACGAAGAACGCAGAATCACATTTTGTTAGTGGATTCTTGATAGAACTGATAATAATAGGGAGTTTTTAAGTAACGTTTTATGGACCGATGAGTCATGCTTCACTAGACGTGGAGTGGTAAATTTTCATAATCAACATATTTGGTAGCATGAAAATCCGCATGCAGTTCGGGAAAGAAATTTTCAGCCTTGAATTTAGTGTGAACGTGTGGATTGGTATCTACCGTAAGCGACTATTTGGACCCTACCTTTTGCCTGCAAGGTTAAATGCTGCGACCTTCTTGGAATTTTTAAAGGCTGAACATGCAAATATGTGGGATGATGTTATGTTAGGTTTAAGAAGATTGGCCTGGTTCCAGCTTGATGGTTGTCCAGCTCATTATTCGAGAATAGTTAGAAACTGGCCGGACGAAAATCATACAGAAAGATGGATCGGCCGTGGAGGACCAGTCGCCTGGCCTCCACGATCCCCTGAGCTAAATCCATTAGATTTCTTTGTGTGGGGATTTCCAAAAGAAAAAGTGTACCAGACTCCCGTAACCACAAGAGATATGCTAATAGACAGAATCAGGAATGCATGTGATGAAATAAGGCCTTATTTGAATAATGCTATACCACGTTCGATCATTCGTAGATGTGAATTGTGTATTGAACAATTGGGTTTACATTTCGAGCAACTACTTTAGATTTTTTATGTTTGTCCTAACTAACCAATAGCATTTTAGTTGTAAATAATTAATTTAATTTGTTAAAAATAATATTCAAAAATTAAACAAATTAATATTCTGTTTTTTGTGTTTATTTGGAGTTAGGAATTATTGCTGTGTTTAAAACCACAATCTAAACGATCATCTTAATTACTTGTAATGCCCAAATCGAAAATGTAAAAAAACATTATTTTCCCATAAATAATTAAAAATGCATCGAACCTTAAAAATCGAAATAACTCAAAAACGGCTAACTATAACGAAAACTCACAAAAGAGCTTTTTTATGCAAAAAAGTGCGAAAAATCAGTTTTTTTCATTCAAAAAGCAAAAATCGCACTAGGAAAAAATTGTCGGTCATTTTAATACACTACAGGTACAGTAGAGAGCGTCCTCTAGAGGCCACAGTAAAGCTATGCCCATGGTTCGTTTTGCCGTACCAAAGAACCCTTGTGTACCAATTTTCACTGTTATACATCAAATATTGTTCGAAATATTTAAAAAAAACTATTTTAAAAAGTAATTCTAAACACCCTGTATTTCGGAAGCCACGCATTTTTCGACCCATGTTTATATAGACTTTATGCATTAATTTTAAAAGTTCTATCGAACCTTAAACTTATGCACCAATAAACTGAAATACCCTGTATATGTGTGTAAGAATTTAATATGGCGTTTATTGGAAAAAATAAAGTTGAGGCTAAGGGACAAGAAACGAAACGTCAATCGAAATTCTAATTATAGCATCTTGTGAAGGAACAATAGTGGCAATGTCAATGTGCAATTTATTTAGAAATCCCACTGCAAATAAAGTCAGGAATAAATAAAATGTTTTTGGAAAAGTTCTGTTTTTTTTTCATTTCCCTTCGGAAGTTTTTTGAATATAGAAACTTTGTGAGCGGCATTTTCTAGTTACCTAAGTATGCAGGTTACCGTTTCCGAGATCATAACTGTGAGGGTCGAAAACACCCGGTATATGTTTGGTCTTTAGCCGCGTCTTTTAACGCGCCTTTCGCCTATCAGCATGTCACTTAACCGACGTCATTTAACCTATTTGGAAATATCTTTGGAGTTTGATGTTTACAACAGAACGCATTGCCTCTAAAACTTTCAACATTAGCTGCTACTGTAGATAGCTCTAAACTGTACAGATAACTAAACATTTGTATCATCAATATTATAAATAAATCTCCTTCATTAAAATACGCTGAATAAATAACTCCAATAATAAAGGAAGCTTCGATCGTAGTTTGATGGATAATGTGGCTTTCAATGAATTGGTGTAATGTGTTCATTATATCTGTCTATGTTGTGCGTACTGAATCACTTTATACGTATTTTATGTATATGCTTGTTGTATCAATACGAGGGATGTCTTTTAAGTTTTGCATATAGAAACATAGTAGGCCGCGCGGAACGAACGTCAGTACTGAATCTTAACCTCACTGTTTAGTAAACTTAAATTCAAAGTTTCATAACAAGAAGTGCAGTGTTCTCACTACAGTCACCTAGTCATTAGAAAAATGGAACTCAAACGAGAACATTTTCGCGCCATAATTTATTACAACTTTATCGCAACAAGAATGCCTTGCCGAGTTACTGTCTGTTACTGTTACTGTCTGTTTTCGGCAACGAAGCGCCACATCAGTCGACAATTTCCCGTTGGTATGGAGAATTCAAACGTCGACGGGTGAGTCTTAGCGACGATCCCAGGGTGGGTGCACCAAAAACGGCAGTTACCCAGAAAAACGTCGATGCTGTGCGCAAACTCATCAATGAAGATGACATATCGCGAGATTGAGGCGTCTTTGACGATCTCAAAGACGTCAATTCAAAAAAAATTACATGAAGAATTAGGAGTAAGAAAACTAGATACCCCACCTGTTGACTGAAGAGCAGAAAGCAACCGGGGTTAATTGGTGTCAAAAACGCTTGACCATTCCGGAAACTCAAAAAATGTGTACAGCATCGTTAGTGATGATAAATCGTGGATTTACTGTTATGAACCAGAAAATACACGATAGTCGGCTGTTTGGGTGTTCCACGGTGAAGAAAAGCCAACAAAGGTCATCCGTTCTCGAAGAGTTTCGAAAGGAAATCCCCACTTTTGGCTTGACTGTTTTTGGAGCAAGTCATAAATAAATGAAATTATCTTATATTTTGTATCCCTACATCATAACTTATTTTATATATATATATATATATATATATATATATATGTATATATAGTTGAAAAATTAAAGCTTCCGCCTTTTGTTGGGTACTTCGACAAAAATTTTAGCAAAGAGGACTCTTTATACTATATTAATCTCTCTAGCTTTCAATGGTCTTTGCCATCATCATCAGGAGCTGTAATAACATTGAGAAGAATGATGATGATGGCAAAGACCATTGAAAGCTAGAGAGATTAATAAAGTATAAAGAGTCCTCTTTGCTAAATTTTTTTGTAGTACCCAACAAAAGGCGGAAGCATTAATTTTTCACCTAACTGGTCTAGACTACAATGACCACGTCTCAAGTTATATATATGCATTTTTACTGGAATCTTGTTTGTTTTTGCCAAGGTTGTTGTGTAGATTTAGTAGGAAATAAATGATGTGAATAAAAAAAAATTGAATGCATATGAGTATAATCCATACAAGCCACAGCGGTCAATATTTAACGCTAAAATGAATTTAGATATTGATCTCTGGCTGGAGTCAGCGTGGAAATAAATTAAATACAAAGCGGTCCATACGGACCGCCGTGGCGTAATAGGCCCGTTGTCAAGCGGTCCCACGGGACCGCCATGGCGCTTAACGTGTTAATGAGCAAAGAACTGTTACTGCGGATTGGTATACCACCATTTCTTTGCCAAAAGTCATCACCCAGCTTCGAAAAATCAACCCCGAAAGAAGAATCATCCTCCACCAAGACAATGCAAGCTCGTACATAGCCTAAAAAACAAGACAGTACTTAACTGAAGAAAACGTGGAATTATTGACCATCCTCCATATATTCCCAATCTGAGTCCTAACGATTTCTTTACTTTCCCGAAAATTAAAAACAGACTGCGTGGTCAAAGGTTCCAGTCACCAGAAGAAGCAGTTGACGCATTCAAAAACGCCGTTTTGGATGTGCCAGCAAACGAATGAACAAGTGATTCGAAAATTGGTTCGAGCGCATGCAGATGTGTATTAATCTTCGTGGAGAATACACCGAAAAACAATAAAGTCATTTAAAACTACCTACCGTGTTGTTTTATTTCCATATGCAAAACTTAAAAGACATCCCACGTATATGGTTCATAATTCTGAACTGTATATAGAAAACGTGTGTGGGAGCACGTATTTTACATGTTCTAACATCAGCGCAGAGAATATATTTAATTTTGTTTAGTATTTTCAGCTTTAACTGATAGTATTTCATTATAACTAATAATAAAGTGACTGTTGAGAAATGAAATTACTTCAACATCATTACACATAAATTCCTGTTATATTATTTATGAATCTACCAAATTACCTCGTACATATCTTTTGGTTTGACGGTAAACACCTATTTTAGATTCGAACATAACTATATAGTAAATGGTAGCGGCAAATACCATTTACTGCTGCGCATATGCTCTTAGGGATCTCAGACTAAACGTTTACCCTGGCGAAGCTGTTTACCCTACAATATACAGTGTCCCCTTCCCCTTTGATTTTTTGAACGGATTTATTCAAAAAATTAAAACTTACCATATTTTAGAGTAAAATTGACAGATGAAAATGTCAAGAAAAAAATTATATGAAAACGGGGGTCTTGTGGCACATCATTTTGAAGCTCCTGACGAGTACTTTATAACCCTTGAATATAAAGTCAAAATGGTGGTACATTTAATAATTACTTAACACAAACCCACTAACATGCATATCTCTACAAATAATTGTAATTGCCTGCCGTATCCACAGCAACAGCGATAAAAACTTGCTTTGTTATTTTTTGTTGACAGTGACAAGAATATCAGTACGAAAACGAACATCATTGTACAGTTAAAATATTCTCATTTAGTTTTCGGTTTTAGTGCTATATACTGTTTGAAATATTTTTAAAATGGTCAATTCTCGTCCATTGGAAGAAAAAATCTAAGCGATTTTTATTTATGGTGCGACGCGTAACTTTCATGAGACTGAAAGAATTTTTAATGATCGTTTCTCGAATCGTCCTATCTGTAGAAAATATACTAAGTGACATATAAATCCGAACACCCAGTTTAAATGGTTTTATTTTAATAAAAGCTGGTGAATGTATTTATCTTACTGTAAATAACAGGTGAAAAAATTTTCAGCCTTATCAGTTGGACATTCCGGTTTTTATACTGCTTTTTTTTAATTCACTAACGCTCTAAAAATGAATATTTCAGCCGCAGTAAAGAATCAACGTTGGCGGATTTCGGTTCCTGACATCCTTAACGATCGGTTACGATGCCTAGAGTACGGAGACCGGTACGATTTCGTCAACTTAGTGAGTTTGATAGGGGCCGTATAGTGGGACTTCGGGAAGCTGGACTTTCTTTTCGGGCAATTGCAGTTAGAGTGCAAAGAAGTGTAGACACTGTGGTTAGGTGTTGTCAGGCATGGCTTCGAGAAGGCCGTACGCAAAGAGCAAGCGGCACTGGACGCCGCCGTAGAACAACTGACCGTGAAGATCGCCGCCTAAGATTATTGGCCTTAAGGGACCGTTTCTCCACTACCAGGTCCATTGCAAATGAATGGTTTGCAGAACACGGAAGACCTATTGGCATGCGAAATGTTTACCGACGAATGAGAAGTGTTGGCTTGTTTTCATACCGGCCACACTGGGTCCTCTCTTTAACTCGAGAACACCGACGTAATCACCTTGAGTGGTGCAGACAACGGTCACTCTGGGATCAGGAATGGAACAGTATTGTCTTTAGTGACGAGTCTCGATTTTGTTTAGGCATGCGCGATGGTCGTGCCAGGGTTAGAAGGCGACGTGGTGAAAGGAGGAATCCACAGTTTTTTGTTGAAAGACATGTTCATCACACTGTTGGAGTTATGGTTTGGGGTGCTATAGCTTATGGTTCCAGGTAACCTTTAATCTTCATCAGAGGAAACATGAACGCGCAGCGTTATATCCACGAAGTTCTAGAACCCCATCTTTTACCCTATCTTGACACCCTGGCAGATCCAACTTTCCAACAAGATAATGCCCGACCACATGTTGCAAGAGTCACAATAGACTTCTTTCAACATAATGATGTCACATTGTTACCATTGCCACCAAGATCTCCCGACATCCCCAATTGAGCACGTGTGGGATATCATGGGTAGGAGATTGCTCAATTTGCAACGTCCTCCTCAGACTCTAGAAGCACTTCGAGAGGAGTTGGTGGTTGCCTGGAATGAGATACCACAGGAGGACATTGACCACCTGATCAGAAGCATGCCTAGGCGTGTTGGAGAATGCGTAGCACATCAGGGTGCATCCATACATTATTAAAGGTCAAAGGGCTTTAAAGCAGTGCCATCATTTTGAAATTTTTATCATTTACTTATTATGCTTCATTAAGTACTACAAAATTTTATTAAAATAAAACCATTTAAACTGGGTGTTTGGATTTATATGTCACTTAGTATATTTAAGGGACCTTATATCTAAATTTACAGCTACTGGTAGTGTAAACAACAAAAAGGCCCCCAGGTCATCCGACCATCCCGGAAGAAAAGCAAGTAAATAATTGGTGAGATCATAGTAAATCCCCAACAGTCTACTTCCTCCATCGCGAATGTATGTGAGGTTTGTCCTTCTACTGTAAGGAGACTTTTGAAAAAGAATAAGTATCACCCATACAAAATTCAGAGGGCGCATCGGCTAGCTGAAGATGACCCTGATCGAAGAACAGAGACTATGACGGAAACTATTGCACGGCATGCTACCTATATCCAAAATATTTGTTTTAGTAATGAGTGTACATTTTTTCTCAACAGTAATGTGCATAGTGAAAATTGCCTTTATTGGAGTGACACCGATCCTCACGTCTTCCGGGAAACTCATACTCAATATCCACAAAAAATTAACGTTTGGCCTGGGATATTGGGAAATGATATTGTGGGGTCTCTATTCATCGAACAAACTTCAACCGGGGAACTGTATTTGGATATGTTGGAAGATACTATTAACCCTCTAATCACCGAAATCGTCGAAGCGAATCAACGAATTCGATACTGATAGACAAGTTTGGAATTATTTAGATAACAATTTCCCCGGTCGTTCGATTGGCAGTCGAGGTCCTGTGGAATGGCCAGCTCGCTCGCCAGATTTGACACCTTTAGACTTTTTTATGAGGCTATTTGAAGCAAAAGGTGTGCCAAAGTGAACCTGCTTCAATATTGGATATACGGCTGAGAACAACAAATATTTGTAGAAATATCGATGTTACTATGTTTGAAAATGTTCGACGCGAAATCACGAACCGGCTGTTATTGTGTCATCTTCTAAACAGAACTCCACGTATTTATTCGAATTATCAAGTTAAATGTCAATGTATTCAGGTAATTATTAAATGTACCACCATTTTGTAGTAGGTAAAGGTATTGACTTTATATTCTAGGGTTATAAAGTACTCGCCAGGAGCTTCAAAACGATGTACCACAAGACCTCCGTTTTCCTATATGGCCCAGCGGCCATCTTGATATTTTCATCCGTCAATTTTACTTTAAAGTGTGGCATCCACGTATCAACTTCTTTACCTCGAGTTTCAATTTTTTTAATTGATCCGTTCAAATAATCAAAGGGTATGGGGACATTAAAGAAAAGCGCTGTATCTTAGATAGGGAATTAACACATCCTTTCTAAAAATATTCATACCATACGCTGCATTTGTAGCTTCTAAATATATCTACAATCATGATTGTACATAAATCACGAACGATTTAAGCGTATAAGTGAAAGTTGAAAACTTCATGATGACCGCCGGTCTTCAGCCTGAGATACTTTCTTGAATGGAAAGGGGGCCTACCTTCTTTCAAAGTTGCTAACTGGCTGGCTGGCAGAGTTATGCGTTTTTTTGATATTTTGCTGCAAATAGTCACCAAAACGATATGGTATGTTATATCAATCTTCCTTGTTTGGGAGGGATGATCTTAATGCGCTATGAATAAGGATTCCGTTTGAAAACATGACAACTTTTCCATGTGGAATATTGCACATTTGATTACATATTAGTATAGATGCTTTCAAGAGAAGAATATTGATAACCTATAGCGATTTGATGATTGCTTGATGAAGTGATTCGGTGAATAAAAATGGTCGACTCTGCCAGCCTGCCAGCCCGCCATTTTAACGAAGAGTTTTGTTGTATTCTACGGTCCTAGTAAAAAAATATTAGCAAAATTGTAAAGTCTGCTTTTATTGGTGCAAGTTGTTCAAGAATGAGAAAACGTGTTTTCTGGGATTCAATCGAAAGTGTTGACAGGAACGAAATAACTTTTCATATTAGATTTTTAGGTATTTATGAGACCTACCAATTGAGACCACACGTGAAATGATCCGACTAATAGCAAAAACGTTATGGCAAAATGCACGTTTTGGCAGTTGTTGGTAATGCGACGATAATTTCACGCAAGTACTTGAAATTCTTCAAATCTGTAGGATTCATACTTCTAAATAACAGCAACAAAATTAGTTTATATTGGTGAGGTAGTTTTTTTAGAATCTCTAATTGTTAATCCCAAAACTCCTGTTTTCTGGCCATCACTACTAGTTTACTGAGCAATATACTCCTTCAAAGAGCATTTAATAGCAAAATACACGTGTTTACCTTTCTGGTGTGAATCACAAACTATTGCTCAAGTTGAGACACGACTGAGGTATGCACTATGGGGTTTGTCTACAAATACCCAACAAGTATTTTTGGCCCAAAAAAGAGTGGTTAAATGCATGATGGGAGTCAACAGTAGGCATTCTTGTAAGGATATTTTTGAGCGCCTTAAGATTTTAA